ATGGTCCACCTGCGCGGTAGACCGGCCACCTGCGTGGTGGCCCGGCTTGAGGGTCCGCCTGCGCGGTAGACCAGCCACCTATATGGGTGGTGAACAAAAATACGCGGTTGGAGCTGTGTCTCTATCCACGCGCACGAACCACCTGCGCGGTGGTTTTGCTGGACGGTCGTTAGTCGTTATATATATATATATATTTAAATATATATATATATATTCGATGACGTCCATATATATATATATATATATATAGATTCATCCATGCATTCTTTTTGGAATCGGTGTCGTTCGCATTCGTCCTTTTTTTCGCTTGTGCAGGCGCCGCAACATGCCGAACGGAGGCAGTGCACGCGGTTCCTCGCGCAGTGAGTACTCGTGTGCCAGAGGAGTCCGAGGGTTCGACCTCGCCGGCGAACCCACCACCAGGGGTGACCCCGAAAGCGGTCCCTCCCGCAGCGCCAAAGGCCGCAGCACCGGTAGAACCTGTGCCCCCGGCAGCAGCGAAGGAGCGTGCAGCCTCTCCCACAGATGTCTCTGACAGTGAGTCTGCAGAGCCAAAGGGGCGCGCAAAAGGTGCGAGCGTCCGCTGTGAGCACTGTTGGCGACAAGTGGCGAAGTCGGGTCTCGCCATGCATTAACGCTTGTCGGTCCATTGTCTGACGTGGCAGCTGCATGGCCAGGGGCGGTCATGGTCTTCAGCGAGCAAAAAGGCTCAGGCCTATACATGAAGAGCGCGAGCAAGCCTGGCGCAAGGAAAACGAGCCCGCCAAGGAGAAGACCCGCAAGAAGCCGAAAAGCGAAGAGCCGAAGCGTGCGAGGCATCGCACCGATGAGCGGAAGACAAAGGGACGTCGGCGCCGCCGGGAGGAAAAAAGCAGCTCGCATGAGCGAGGAACGCGACGGCGGAAGCATCGCAGCAGTCGTGCCGAGAAGGCGGCCACTGCGACTGCAGAGCCTGCAGCGCCGCCTCCAGCGACGCCTGCACCAGCGGCGCCGTGCACGCTTGCCACGACACCGCCCCTGGGTAAGTTGCAGCTAGCCCCGCAGCCAAATGCACCCAACTGGGCGCAAGCATTGCTGAGCATGGCTCCTCCTGGTGCCACCGCGTGGCAGGGAGCAGCTTTGACTGAGTTGCTCTTGCAACTATAGCTGCTGCTCGACGCTGACTCGCGGCTTGACGGAGGAGGTGAAAAGCGCGATGACTGCGAGATGACGACGGACGCGGAGGGACGGGTGGACTCAAGGATGACTGCGGGTGACTGCGGTACATACGTAGATAAGGGGTCATATCTGCACGGTTCATTCTCTAGATGACTGCGGGATGACTGCGGATGACTGCGAAATTTTCACACTCACGTTTTTTTGGTTTCTGCAGCTCTTTGGCTCTTGACTGTAGTTTGCGTTGCGCTCTCACCGGGAGAACCAACTTCATGGCTGAGGAACATCCGGTTTGCTCGATGTGTGGCGACCAGAAGCTGCCGGAGGCAGGTCGCTTTCATGGCAAAAAGTTCCAATGCAAGGCTTGTCAGAACCTAGCCCAGTTGGTTCGTCGCCGCCTGGGTTCGGGCGAGCTGCTGGCAGAGGTGAGTGCGGAAGAACGTTCGAATTTCTTTCGCCGTTCCCAGGTGTCTGCCTCAGACTCCTACCAATGGGAGGTGGTCCGAGCCAACCTCGCCAAGACGCTGACCCGTGCGCGCATCGAGGAAGAGGTTCACAAGACTACGGCGGAGGAGCTTCCACTGTCGGTGTGGTTGAGCCGAGGCTTCGAGGAAGCTGTTGTCCGCAAGTGTCCGGTCCGCACGGACTCCGTGCTGGGTGAGGTTTTTGCTGTGCCTGTGCGCGCTTTGGTCTCCCAGACCATCGCGCGGCAGGTGGAAGAAGAACTGGTCACCAAGGAGCGCGCTCTGCGCTGCGCAGGGGCCCAGAAGCGGAAGCGAGCGGATGGTGAGGCAATCGATGAGATGGACGTGGCTGCGTGCCCCGTCCCTGCAGATGCGGCTGCAGGGAACCGCAAGCGAGAAGCCGAAGACAAGAAGGAGGCCAGGGAGGCAGCCAAAGCGCTAGCGACCGCGCAGCGCAAGAATGCTCAGCAGAATTTGTTGGCCGCCAAGTCTGCCGCCCCTCTCACGAGTCTTTGCCGCGCGTTGCTGTCCACGACGCAGGAAGTGCAGAAGCATGTCTGGGACGTTGAGCCTGACTTCATGAAGACCCTACAGGATGCGCAAGTACAGATGAGTGCGTACTTGAAAGAGACTACGGACTACATGCACCTCTATGAGACCACTCAAGGCCAGGGCGTGGAACTCAAGCCGCTGACGTATACCGCGCAGACACTGAAGGCCCACACCCATGCTGCTGCGCAAGACGTGCTGGGTGAAGCGAAGGACATGGTGAAAGCTGCAAAGTCTGCGGCGCAGAAGGAAAAGCAGGCTGCCAAGCAGACTGCCAAGCAGACTGCCAAAGCCAAGCCCAAGCCGCGGGCAAAGGGCAAGGCGAAGCAGTCTGCGGATGCAGACCAAGAGGACAAGAGCTGAAGGGTATAAGCATGGCCGGGGGGCGCGCCGTGTTTTTAATCTTAGCAGTGCGTACATATACGCTCTGCAGGGACATCCGTGCAACGCAACAACTCTGCTGATGTTAAAAAGGTGCGTTTTTTCAGCGCTACCTTGTTGTGGTTGTGGTGGTGGTGGTTGTTGTTGTTGGTGTTATTGTCGACGTTGGATCCGTTTGATGTCTGCAATACTTTCCTGGCTCTGCGTAGTACACATTTTTCACAGTATCTATCTTTTCTATATAAGGGGACACAATCAGGAAGGAAATCAGATACTGTAGCGTCACTCAAATAACCTTGATGAAAGATAGCTGTAGTATACATGTACCGCGGACGGAGCCATGCCCCGAAAGCGGACCCTGAGTCAAGCGGAAGAAGACTCTCTGAACTGCGCGCTCAGAGAGCCGGGTATTTCGCAAAGTAAGGCCTTCAAGGTCTGGAGCATTGCCACAGGCCTAAGCGGCCTGTCTCGTGGGGTAGCGCAGCGTCTGGACGAGTCCCGGCTGCGACCGTACCAGGACCTCTTCGCGCATGGCCAGTGTCGAGCACTGAAGCCTGACAAGAGTTCTGTTTCTGTGCATGTCTTGAAGGTGCACAGAGCCCTCCAGAAAATGGTGAAGGAGTCTAACGCCTGGCACGTTGAGATGTTGCAGGCGTTGCGTACGAGTTCAGTTCTTCGCCCTGTGCTCTACTTGGACGAAGTGCACGCAGGGAATGTGCTGTCAGCACATGCCATTCTGAAAGTATCTATCTTCTACATATCCTTCGTGGAAATGCAGCACTGCTGGCACAATGAATTTGCATGGTTGCCAGCTGCCGTCATCCAACACGATGTCGTCGCCAGCATAGAGGCTGGCCTGAGCCAAGTGCTCATATTGCTGCTAGAACATATGCACACTCCACGCGAGTTTACGCTCTTGCTGCAGGACCGGTGGTTCGACGTACGCATGGCGCCCGAGACTTTCTTCATTGCGGACCACGACGCGCAACGCATGGTGTACACGGCCAAAGGTTCGGCAGGCATTAAGCCGTGCCTATTTTGTAGCAATGTTGTTAAGAAAGGACTGAGCGTCCCAGGATTTGTAGACATATGTTTTGCTGCGTGCAAAAAGGATGCAAAGTATTCGAGATCAGGAATACTTTGACAGCATAGAAGATATGCGGCGCCCTCACACCAAGGCCGCACTGAAAGAGAAAGAGATCTGCTATGGTTTGCGTCTCGAAGAGAGGGGTCTCATGTGCTCCGCGCAGTGGCGTGAAGTCATGCCGCCCTCTAGAGCATGCAATGATGCCATGCATGCCTACTTTTGCAGCGGCGGAATTGTTCAATTTGAAATTATGCTCTTTCTGCAGACGCTCACCACGCAAACCTCAAGGACACATGCGGATCTCCGGACCTTTGCCTCCTCTCATGGATGGCAGAGAGGTCCACGAGCTGGGTCGACAAGATCGGCCGCATTGTTTCGAGCCTGCTACTTTGACGGAGATTACTATCGGGGTGACGCCTGTCAGACCAAGTCGCTGCTGCCTTTGCTGGCGTACTACGCGTGGGAGTTACTCGGCGTGAGAGGCCTTGCGCCGGAAGAGTGTCGGTGCTTGTATCTGCTGTTGGATTGCGTCACAGAGATCCGTCGCTTAGAGCAAAGGTGGCGCCCCCTTGCTGCGCGCGAGGAGGTGGAAGCGTTAGAGAGAGCACAAGAGCTTCACCAAGTGGCATTTCGCCGCACGTACGGGGAGACGCACATGCGTCCAAAGCACCATCACAGACTGCATCTGGGCGAGTGCGCGCTTAAATTGGGCAGGCTCCTCACGACAGAAATCTTGGAGAAAAAGCATCAGGCTGTCAAGTCTCGTGGTTTACTCACGAGACAGCGCCCGAAGCTGTGCAACTCGGACCACCTCCAGTCATGGCTCCTGCCTCGACTGCTGCAAGACACCGTGGAAGGCTCCAAGCGAGCCTCCGCGTTGGGAGTGTGGGGAGCCGCAGGCCCCCAATCTGAGGCCGATCTCGAAACACAGACAGTCCTGCGAGACAAATCGGCGCAGCAAGTCTCCACGATGCATCTCCGCCAACACACCTTCAGTGTCGCCGATATACTGTTGAGTGCTGGCGGTCAAGCGTGCCTTGTGCGGGGTACTGTACCATGGAGACCAGTGTGGACTCGTGGCACGCGTGGAACTGCTGCGACCGCTTGCTCGGATGCCATGGGGCTCAGAATGGTCTAGAACAAATACACACTCCTTTTGCCGCTTCTCAGTGGAGGATGATTGCTACAAGCCTTCTTGGTGGCTGTTCCTGCCATCAAAAACAAACGCCGACACGGCGGAGCGAATTCGTATCTTACTTTGACTGTGGGACCATGCAGTCGAGTCGAAAAGTGTAAAAAAGGCGGCCCCTGCCTGCAGCGTTGAATTTCTGGAAAACATACTTTTTCAACGTGCGTGGAACTTATCTGAACTTATGGGAATACCTTCAAGTCTATCCAACATAAGTTAACATAAGTTTCCTAGTGTTCACTCAAGTCAACATAAGTATTTCGATCTATTAAGTAGTGAATCCAATGGCCGGATCCTGGAAGACATGCACCGCAGGAACAACGTCACGGCCCGCACGCAAGCACCTCTCGGCAAGCCGTACTGCATTCAAAAAGGGAGTTGAATGGACAATGCCGTCGAAGGATCCTGTCTGAGTAGATGCAATTCCATCAACGGAAGGAGCATATGGAACCGTTGGCGAGACTTCCGAAGCAGAGCTGTGGATCTCCTGGATACGAGTAGGCACTTCCCGAGGACAGGGATGATCTGTAGAGGCAGTGACATTGGACGCCCCAAAAGTCAAGATCGCAAGAAGCCGGTTGGCCAGGTAGAGAGACCACTGGTTGGACAGGACTGCAATGTGCTGGAGCGTCATTCCATTGTGGATACGTTCCTCGGTATGCCACAGAAACAGGTGAGACTGAATCGGATACCGCCAACGAAAGATGCCAAGGAGGTGCCCCACAGTCCATTGGGCTGGAACAGACAAAAGATGTCGAACAGCGGAAGTGGCATGGAGCACATGCAGTTCCAAGACACAAATCCCCGACG